CCGTTACCTCTCTCTCCTTGAGGAAGACTTGGGTACAGAATCTGCCATCCACCATAACCTTGGGGCAAAGCAGGCCGGGCCATCCAACACTCTGTGGACGTCTGGAAGACCCTGAAGGTGTCAAAGGAAATAACTCAAGGGGGGAGGAAAAGGAATTCCGGAGGAGGAATGCACCCCTGCTAGCTGAGCCAGTGTTGCCATGGGGATGGGAAGATGGGGTGTGAAATGGCTGCAAAATCCCAGGACAATCGGTCATCAGTGTTCTGCCTATAAGAGTCTCGAAGGCCTATTCCCAGTGCCAGACGGGGTGTGGGGGTCCTCCTGGTGTGACCTCACATGGGTTTGGAGCTCTTCCCGGTCTGGGACCTCAACCCCTTGGACCTCTCACCAGATTCTGCCGCTCTGGCTCTCTCCATGCCAGAGCCCCTCATCATTGTAGTACTCATCCACCATCAGATTCCCGCCAGTGCCCTGCGCTGAGGCGAACGTGGTCAGCACGCGGGCAGGGATTCCCAGGCAGCGCAGCACTGCACAGAAATGGGGCAGCGTGTCAGCGGGGGGCGGGGAGGCCTGGGGTGGGGCAGGGGGCAAATGTTTGTAAGCTTAGCTATCAGGGCCTCCCCTGGGAAGACTTTATCTTACATGCCAGGGGACGTGATAAAAGGAGGGGGTCCCAAGTGCCCGGAAGTTAGAACTCAAGCCCCACCCCCTTCCGCCGCTTCCAGATCCTCCAAGAAGAGGAGACTAAAGGCTGGTGAATCGGGTACAAACAAGTGGCACAGCCCCACGGGAGACCCAGAAGGCGAGGGCTGCAACCTACTGAGCAGAGCTCTGGGAGCTCGCTCTATTGGGACATTTTCAGGGAGAAAGTCAATTTGAAAACAGAGTTTGCCAGATGGGCCCAACTTGGCTAAGGTGAAGAGGAGCCCAAGCTAGTTGCGAGAAGCTGACTGGGGCAAGGAACTGGGTTCTTGGCCAGATGGGGCAGAGGCTGTGCCTGCTCTTTGAAGGAGCCTTCTCTTCCACCCTGGGGACCAGGTAGCGGGTAACCTGAGAGGCAGGGCGGACACTCTGGACATAGCCAAGGTGAACCTCTGTGTGTGGCAGGCAGACCTGCTCTGTACCTGTGCATGCCACAGCAGCCAACACCCAGGCCTGATCTTCAAACACAGGTCGCCCTTGGCCTGTGAGCCACTGCCGGAGGATGGGCACGCTGCCCCGGAGCTTGGCCAGCAAGGCCTCTTCCTGGGTCACCTGGGGCTGCAGGGTAGGAAGGACACTCTTCTTCTGGAGCACCTGCAGCTGTTTGGGGGAAATGCATGGAGGTTAGTGTGTCTTGTGGGCAAGGCAACTTCCTGTGGGTTCTCCAGGCCTGGTGCGCCAACCACATACGTCAGAACCACCTGGGACTTGTGAAACCTACCTGTTCCTGAGCTCTCCCCTAAAGTGACTGGATTATAATCTCTAAGGGTGGGGCCCTACGAATCTTCCTTTTTGCATTAATTATTCATTTATTTTTATGGGCCTACGCCTGTTCTTTCTCCCATACCTTTAGCCTGCATATCTATCCATGCATCCGCTTTCAGGGTTTCATGTATAACAGTGTCTACCTCTGTCGGCGTTTACTCTTCCCCTCTTCCCAGGGTCTTCTGCTACTGCGATTGTTTTCTGCCAGCTTCTCTCTTGTATACTACCTTCTTTACCCATGTTAACACGTGTTCACCCTTTAGCCAGTAACTAACCCTCCTTTCTCCTCCCACCCCATCACTGGGACTTCACAAAGAATGCTGCTTTTAAATGTGGTGAAGAGGGGATGGTGTCCGGCTATCAAAAGATATAGCATCTGGGGTCTTAATGGCTTTAGGTGAAACAAACAGCCATCTAGCAGGGAAGCAAATGAGCCCACATGGAAGAAGCACACCAGCCTGTGTGATCATGAGGTATTGACGGGATCAGGTATCAAAAGATCCAAAACAAACAACTATATCGATGCAAATGAGGGGGGTTGCAGTGGAGACCCAAAGCTAAGGTGACCAGATTTCAAGCCGGACACCATTAACCGGGGTGGTCATGGGGTTTCTTGATTAAAAATTTGGTCTATATGGACCAAATAGACCGTTCTCTAGCTTGTCGTGCATTCTTTCCAAAATCAGGACTTTTTAAAAACTCCAAAAAGCAGGCCTTATCCAAAGCCCATCTGTAGACAATTGGATATCCCCCCACAGAAGGGTTATAAGGAAAGGATAATTCAACCAAAATGTAGTATAGCACCAGTGAATCACACATCACTCCTCTAGTTCCTGAATGTTTCCTCCCACCCACTACCCAGACATGACCCAGTTCTACCTTACAAATCTGGCTAGACCAGAGAACACACATTAGTACAGATAAGAGCTGTTGACATATGGAATTCAGGGCAGATAAACCCCGTAGGAAAAGTAGTGGGAGTAGCAATATCATGAGGGTATGGGGATGGTCGGGGAGGGGGAAGGGAGGGATAGGGGGAACCCATCACAAGGTTGGATATATAGTCCCCTTCCCCTGAAGGGGATGAATAACAGAAAAGTGGGTGACGGGAGACATCGGTCAGTATAACATGAAAAAATTTTATAAATTATCAACGATTCATGAGGGAGGGAGGGTGGGAAACGGAGGGGAAAAATGAGCAGATGCCAAGGGCTCAAGTAGAAAGAAAATGTTTTGAGAATGATGATGGCAGCAAATGTACAGATGTGCTTGACACCATGGATGTATGTATGGATTGTGATAAGAGCTGTAAGAGCCCCCAATAAAATGATTAAAAAAATAGGTCCTTGACTTTTTACAAGAGTGTGGTCTCCTTCAATATTTGCCCTTTTGTGATTGGCTTAGTTCAGCATGAAGTCCTCCAGGTTCATCCGTGATGGGAGGTACTTCCCATATTCATTATTCTTTAATGTTGAGTAGTATTCCGTTGTGTGTCTGTATGCACCATAGTTTGTTGATCCGTTCTTCCATTGAGAGGTATTTGGTTTGTTCTAATTGTTTGGCTACTGTGAACAGGGCTGCAAGGAACGTGGATGTGCATGTATCCATTTGCGTTGTGCCTTTAGTTTCTCTAGGGAAATCCTCCCTTTATCAAGTCCTCCAGAGGCAGGAGTTCTGGCCACAACTCGGCCAACAAAGCTCAAGCCGAACGGAGGAACACAGAAGCAGCTGCTCTCTCCTGATGATGAGTTGGGCTCACGGGGTCTTCACTTCTACAGCCCTACTTCCTTTGAGGTCATTTGCTTCTGTCCTCGGGGCCCACTTAGACCCCCATCCCCCTTCTCCCACCTCACAGGCTGGCCTTGTCCCTCCATCTTTTCAGATGGAATTCCAGAGTCTCCCAGGGGAAATGGGAAGATGTTCTGTGAAAGGCCTTTTTGGGGGCAGTGGGAAAGCCCCAAGTGATTTTCATGGACAGGACATTCTTGGGGATAACTTAGAAATAAAATGTCCTTTTGACTACCTTCGCAGCAAATGTGGGGTAAAATGGACTTGACATCCCACCCCCACCCCTCAGACTGGGGTTGTGGGAAGGAAGAGTTCTTTGAGAAAAGCAATTTCAATTATAGTCCTTGGCTTTTGCTTCCACCCTATCCCAAAGTATGATGCCTTTCTTTGCTTTCTCACTACTGTGAATGCTATTATTTTTTTAAAGGGTGGGGGTGTAATGATGGGGAAGTCTCTGAGTAGTATAATCAATTCAGCTCCAACTGGGAACACAAAAATTGGCAATTCAAAAAACAAACGAATGAACAAACAACAAAACAGCAACAACAACAACAACAAATCCCAACCAAACTCGCAGCCGTCGAGTTGATCCCCACATATGCCAACCCTCAGGACACAGTTCCCCAGGCTGCACCTCGTCATTGAGGAGCAGCTGGGGAGTTTGAACTTCTGACCATTCAGTTGGCAGCCCTATGTGTTCCCTACTATACCACCAGAGCTCTGTCCTGGAAGAAAGGTACCACCAAAGAAAGGTCTGGTGATCTGCTTTGGAAAAGTCGTTGCCTTGAAAACCCAAAGGAGCCGTTCCACTCTGCACACCTGAGGTTGGCCCGCATTGGAATCGACTAGACAGCAGCTGGTCGTCTGATTGCCTGTCTTCTCCCCTTCTCGTGCAGACCCTTCTCCAGGAACTGCCTCCCCATCTGGGAGGAGAGGCCTGCTTGCCAGTTGCAGTTTTCCAGGACCACTGACTTAGATCCCTGAGAGAGTTCTTGCCTCATTTCCTCCCCATTGTGGCCTCTCCTCGCCTCTTACTCACCAAGGAGCCCAATACCCGGGCCACATGCAGAGGGCTGCTCCACTTCTCTACCTGCTTGTCCACGCTCAGCAAGTCCAGGCTGAGGTCAACGACATCCCTCTCAAACTGTATGGAACACACAAGGCAATGATGAGGCTTCTAGGCCAGGGACTCACCCCACAGACAGCCCTGCCATCCCCCCCTTCTCCAGAGTCCACTCGTCCTTCCTGACCGCCTGGTCTCCAGAGGTCTGGCTTTTTCCTCCCTCCCAATGTGCCCCCTGGTTTCTGTGCCAGCCAGTCCCATTCCTTGCTTGGTACAGGATGGTGTCTGACTAATTTTGTTTTTATTGTTCAACATTTAGTAAACTCCTGCTGCTCCTGTCAGCTCGGAACAGAGCAGATGGACAAAGGAGGACGGAAGCACAATCGGAGGAAGATTGATCCCATCTGCAGAACACCAAGAAACTTGGGAAGATAAGATCAAAGAGACGAAAACCTTTCCACAGAATCCACAGAGGGAACCTGCTCCCAGAGCAGGTCCCTGAACTTAGACCTCCAGCCTCTTGAAAAGTGAGAAAATAAAGTTCTGGTGTTCTATTTCTTTTATCAGCAGCACTAGATAAGTAAAAAAGATGCACTGAGATTATAGCAAGGTAGCAAGGGCTCTAGAGGAAATAACCACACAGAACAGAGCATTTTCCCAGGACGAGGGAAAATTCAGCCTGTGTGTTTGGGAATGGGGTGACTCCTGGGGGAAGAAACACGGTGGGCTGGTTCTGCAGGGCCTGGTATGACCAACCAGAGCATTTATTTTAATTCTCTAGATACAGGATAGTATTCAGGAAGACCTGCCAGAGCTTTGAGTTCCCTAGGATTTTAGGAAGCAAACTCTGACAGCCATTCAAGATGGTCTGAGGGAGGTTTGATGAAAGAGAGGCATCACAAGGGTGAAAGTGGCTAAAGAAATGGCTGCAAGACCACGGACGGGTGGGCTTGCCAGCTCTGGCCTGAGCACTGTGCTTATAGGCTGATCCCTGCCCCACCCCCAAGCTGAAGGTCCCCTGTACCTGGCCAAAGTCCCAGGGCTCTGTCTGGATGCAGTTCGCAGTGCCCAGGTAGATGAGGCCATTCTGGTTCAACAAGTACTCCCTGCGTTGAGCCTCGTTCTCCAGGAAAACTTCATCCCCTGGTGAGAAGTGAGATGGGATGAGAGCCTTTGGGACCTGCCTTTGTGGTAGTTACATAATCTGGTGTCAGTTTGGGACTTGAGAGGATTAAGAGTGAAGGGGTGGAGTCTGGTCTGTCAATCAGGTCATAGCCAATGAGGCCTCTGTGTGGATATGGCCTTCTTCTGAGAATTCTGGGAGCTTCTGTATTTCCTCCCTGGAATCTGGAGGAAATATTCACTCCCTGAGAGATGCTCGACTGACAAGACACATGGCGCTACACCCTGGGAGCTGGAGAAGCCACATGGACCTACCCTGATGCAACCAGACCTCTGGAGCTGGAGAAGCCGTAGAGAACCCCTGCCAGCACTGAGATGCTTACAACGCCAGTGGATCTATAAGACTTCCAAATCACTGGCCTGTGATCCTCCTGTGTTCAGCGTCATTGGATGTGTTTCCTTAGTCTGAAGAGGACTTTATAGATTGGTATCAGACCTATGGACTAATATTGGATTTATGGACTTCATCTGAACTGGGCTGGGAAGTTTTCTCAATGTTCAATTGCTCTCGTATATGAACCTCTTTCTCATACACATATGAGTGTCTGTGAATTTGTTTCTCTAGTCTACCTAGATTAACACAGCCCTCCACCTCCAGACCCTCTGCCCTTCCTGTCCAGCAGGTCAGATTTGCCTTCAGCTCCTCTTCAGCTTTGGGTTTGGTAAACACTGTGGTAGAAGTCCCTATTCTGAGATCATGGGGACCTGACCCCCTCACTAGTAGGCTGATAGCAAAGGGGGTTGAAGTCCTGGGCTAACCACAGTGCGTGCCACGGCCAACCAACCTGGCAGACAGGAAAAAGCCAACCTCAAAAACCGAGTGGTTCCCAAGATGTTTGCAGCCAGGGTGCTATCAGCCCAAGGATGTAGCCGCAGCCCAGGGGGCGTCCTCGTGGGCCTGTTGTGTGCTTCCCCCTTGGTTTCATTTGTGACCCCCCCCCAAAAAAAACCCCCAAAAACAATGTTCCAGAAAAAAATACTCAAACATAAGTTGGCAGGGTAGGCAGAAGGGAAGAGGCAGACTTGGCAAGACAGGGTTTAGATGAGGTGCTGGCGCTGAGCGGAATGGAGGCGGGGGCACCGTGGGGGCTCCACTCCATGACTCCCATGGTCTATCCTCGCCTGCCTTCCTCATTCAGGGGTGAAGCGATGTGGGGAGGGAGCTCTGCACTTGGCAGGTGGGTGGAGTGAGAGAGATGCAGATGGATTGCCGAGGACCGAAGAGAGAAAAGGATTCTAAATCACACAACACACTGCTGGCCGTATCTCTCTGCCCTGCCCTCCACCCCAGCAACCCGCTGGGACGAAGGTATTCAGGGCAACAGAAAGTTAGGATATTAGAAACGAGGATGCGATCATAAACACTTGGGCCTCAACTCACAGAATCTTGGGCCCAAGGAGCCCTTTACCCCATCCTCCATCCCAAGTCTTCATCTCTATGAAGTCTGCTTAGCATCCCTTCCTGGGGAATAATTTTGAACACAGGTGTGACATTGGCCCCTGGATCTGTCTGCAGGGCTCTGGGAAGTACAGAATGCATCCCCCTTCTCTCACTCTTTTATAAAGTTCCCCACTTATGAATGGGAACCTGACTTCTGTTAGATCAAGCACATTTGCCTTTTGAATCCAGGAAGGCCCCATCTCTAAGTAAGCTGAGATGGCACTGAGATGCCCAATGATCTCTGAAAATCTGTTAATTGTGTCATAACTGAGCAGAGTCAACAACTCAGCCCTGCCCAGGCAGACAAGTCCATACACCCTCACATGGGGAGATCTTACCCAGGCCAGGCCATTCAAGCCAACCCCAAAGGCAAGACTCCTGGCCCGGGAGTCAAGTTTGTGGGTGTTAGTCTAGCGCTATCTTAGAACTGTCTTTCTTGTGTCATTGCTTTGGCTGGAAGCACTGGAAGTGGACTCCAGTCAGCCAGGCAGATACACAAACATCTCAGCTTGTGAGGGGAATGGCTTTAGGGTCCTTCTGTCACTATGTAGGGTGCCCTGGGGTCTCTCCAGAGTTGGAGGAGTACTGAGTTTAGGTTTATTCGCTTGGAGCCTGGAGTACATGAATGAACATTTTTTGTCTGCTACCCCTGAGTTGGCGCCAGTTCACGGCAAGTCCCACACATAAGGGCTCTGCACCCCCTTGTGGTTGGTTGTGGAGTGGATGCTGTGATCCATGGGGTTGCAGGGATTCATTTCTCCAAGTGCATCGACAGGCCTTTCTTGCCAGTCTGTGTTATCCGGAAACTCTGCTGACGTCTGCTCAGCAGAAGAGCAACAACACAAGCCTCCGCTGGCGAATGGGGGGTGGCTCTGCTTTGGCTGGGAATCTTGAACCTGGGTCTGCCTTAGGGAAGGACACTGGTGGGGCAATGGAGAAGTGCTCAGCTGCTGTGGAATCCACCAGCTGTGCCTCGGTAGGAAGTGTCACTCTGTTCTGGAAAAGATTTCCATCCCTGAAAACCCTATGGGGCAGTTCTGCTCTGTCCTATAGGGTTACTGTGAATCGGAGTCAACTTGATGGCGATGGGTGGCTTCGCGTTAAGGAAAGGAGAGCAGCCAGTGCAGCCCTGCGGGAAGCCCTAAACTCACTGCCATCGAGTCCATGCCGACTCATAGCAACCTGATAGGAGAGGGTAGAACTGGCTCTGTGAGTTTCCAAGACTGTAACTGTTTACAGGAGTGGAACGCCCCATCTTTCTCCCATGAAGTGGCTAGAGGTTTTGAACGACTGACCTTTTGGATCCCAGCCCAACGCATAGCCACTAAGCCACCAGGGTGGGAAGCCATTGCAATTCAAAATTTTATATTATTTTTCTTAAAGAGAGCTCTCCAAATAACATATGCTTCAGATCTCACCAAACCTGGGTTCACGCAGCAGACAGACTATGGGAACCCAAAGAGGGCGACAGAGAAGCCCCTCCCTTGGGTTGCTTTCCTTTCCGAAGAGCTTCCCCATGGTTTAGATCCCTCTGCCGACAATCAATCCCTCCCACTAAAGGGGTTTCAGCGAATCTCTGTTTCTGTGACCCAAACAACCTGAGCCAGCACCAGGGCTTGATGGTGAGAAGAGCTTCGACTTTCCATGGGAAGTCCAGTAGTGCTACAAGCCAAGACCCCATCCACCCAGGAATGAGAGAAAGCACTCTCAGGAACAGTGCCAGAGAGTGAGCTAGCCCGGAGCCTGGGGCAGCTGCTTCCTCCCAGACCTGCCAAGTAGCCCTGGAGTTTTCAGTTTCCTGGGCAGCTCAGGTTGGCCCAGGCCCAAACTCACCGTGATTCCAGGGGTTAAAGAGCAGTATGAACTTGCCCAGGAGATATTTCTTCTTGCTGGAGGACTGCAGCAGGAGTGAGTAGTGGCCGATGATGGCATCTGTGGGTGCCATCACAGCGATGGACCAGGACTGGGCATCTCTCTCCTTTACCATGGCACTCCACCTTGTGTTCTCCCCAAGACTGGAGATAGGGAATGTGGCTTGGGTTCTGTTTGTCTTGGAAGGCTGCTCGCCTGCAGACACAGGGATGAAATCTATCATTTGCCTTTTGACCATAATTCAAAGTAATGAAATTGGAGCGTGACAGTGATGCAGGAGATGCGAGCTGCAATACACTTCTGGAGGCATAAAGGGCGATGAGTTCTTAGGACCCCTGAGCCTATACCTACAAAAGCTTCGTAATCTAGAGTAGCGGTTCTCAACCTCTGGGTCGCGACCCCTTTGGGGGTTGCCTGATTCATAATGGTAGCAAAATGACAGTGGTGAAGTAGCAACAAAAATAATTTTATGGTTGGGGGGGTCACCACAACACGAGGAACTGTATGAAAGGGTCGCGGCATGAGGAAGGTGGAGAACCACTGAGCTAGAGAATGGGCAAACTGTTTGTGGATGTTAAGTGCTGTTGAACCTGTCCCGACTCATCGCGACCATTGATACAACAGAACAAAACGCTGCCAGGTCCTTGGCCATACTCACAATTGTTTTGTTTGAGCCCATGGTTGTAGCCACTATGGCAATCCATCTCGTCAAGGGCAAAATGATAGTGCCAGCTTTATCGGGTGACTCTAATGTGAAGATTAAATTTGCGTGGAAAGTACTTAGCCCCAAATCTCGCATGTACTATAAACCCCCAAACCAAACTCGCTGCCAATTGTGACTCACAGGACAGAGTCGCACTGCCCTGTGGGTTTCTGAGACTGTCTGTCTCTAGGGCGGTAGGCAGCCTCATCTTTCTCCTGCAGATGGGTTGTTTCGAACTGCCCATCGTGAGGTTACCAGCCCAATGTGTAACCCACTAGGCCACCAGGATCAATAGATAGTAGCAATTAAATGTTATCATCCACCTGGATTATATCCCATTCAGGCTTTTCTAGAAAGTTGGCTTGGAGGTGATGAAAAAGGGACCACGCTGTGATGTGATAATGTTACTGAGCAACTCCTGAATTCATAGTGATACTTCTTATGTACATTATTTCCATAATCCCCATAGTCCTGCCAGGTAGGCGGGGCTCAAGTACAATGAGGGGCGTTTCCCCTCTGGTTCCCTGAGGAGGTGCTAAAGTCAGAACCTTAGAATTGCTGCGGAAGGGGGTCTAGGTCAGCTTCACTTACCGGTTTGTGCAACTAGGACCACCTTCTTCATTGCAGGCAGAAACGCTTTGACTGGAGCCCGGAAGCACAGGGTGATGGTGAAGGATTGCCCTCTCCTTACAATGAGGTGCCTGGAGCTGATGGCCCTGGTGTGGTGCTCCTCGTTGTTTCTCGCAGCCTGGAAGTCACAGCTCTTGATGCCCAGGGCTGTTGTGAAGAAGAGAGAAATCATAGAGGCTAGGGAAATGTACAAAATACTACATGGTTTAAAGTCAAGACAGTTATGTGTCAGGCTTGTAGTCTCTCACCATATTTATTCAATCTGTATGCTCAGAAACTCATCAGAGAAGCTAGATTCTATGAAGAAGAATGTGGTATCAACACCGGAGGACATGCAGACAATACAATCTTGCTGGCTGAAAGTGAGGAGGACTCGAGGCACTTGCTGATGAAGATAAGGATTGCAGCCTTCAGTGTGGATCACAAGGCAATGTAAAGAAGACCCAAATCCTCCCAACTGGACCAATAGGTCACATCATGACAAAAGGGGGAAAGAACGAAGTTGCCAAGGATTTCCTCTGGCTTGGATCACAGTCAGTGCCCATGGAAGCAGCAGTGCAGAGATCCAAAGGACACACTGCACCGGACATCCTGCTGTGCGAGACTACGGACAGCAGAGGGACACCTGGTCCTGTGACATCCTCATCATTGCAGTTAGGTTTGAGCCCCTTGTTGCAGCCACTGGGTCCATCCATGTTCATGATGGTCTTACTGTTTGTGTGACGACCTTCTACTTGACCAAGCATGATGTCCTTTTCCAGGGACTGGTCTCTCCTGATAACACGTCCGAAGTCTGTGAGGGAAAGCCTCACCATCTCCTCATTCTACAGCCAGGAACATCCTGGCTGTACTTCTTCCAGGGTAGATTTGTTTGTTTTTCTGGCTGTCCATGGTATTTCAATATTCTTTTCCAACACAATAATTCATATGCATCAATTTTTCTTCAGTCTTCATTAGTCCATGTTCAACTTTCACATGCACATGAGGCTTGTGAAAATACCATGGCTTGGGTCAGGTGCACCTTGGTTCTCAGAGTGACATTCTTGCTTTTCAACACTTTAAAGAGATCTCGTGCAGCAAATTTGCCCAATACATCATTTAATTTCTTATTTGCTTATTTAATAGTTTTATTGAAATATAATTCACAACTCATACAATTCAATAATTCAATCGTATTAAGAATCTTCACTAGAATCAATTTTAGAACATCTTTCTTATACTCATTGTTATTAGTTCTTAATTTCCCCCCAATCTCCCCTACCATGCCCCAAGAAACCATTACTTCTGCTTTATCACTATAGATTTACCTATCTGAAATTTCATATACAGAAAAACATACCAAAAACAAAACAGCAACAGCAAAAGCTACCAACAATAACAAAATGAAACAGAAAAATCTCAACCAATAAGAAAGCAGAAATATTAAAAAGTAGAACAATTTTAAAATCAAAAGGGAAATCACATGATCAAGTGTTAAATTTTAACCTAACTGCAACTGCAGTAATCCAGTTTCCAGTGCATTGTGCATGATGGCAAAGCTCCCCGCATCCCTGGTCCCTGGCCAAAGGGGAGTCACCCTATGCTTAGTCTACACATATTGTCCCTTTGATTCCTTTGAAAACGGAAACAAGTTTAACCTGGATCAAAAGGGAGATCAAATGATATGCTATCACATTTTAACCTAACTTTATATGCCATAATTGACTTTACAATACTCTGCCTGATAGTAAGGTATTCATGTCCCTCTATGATGATCAGAGGGGATTTTCCAGAGCCTTAATCCATGTGTGGACGCTGCAAAAGAATTTGGGGCTTACCATGCCGTCCATAGCCTTCTACAAACCGATGTTCACAATTTAAATGCTGATGCCATCCCCTGCTTCAGATTTGGCTTTTATTATTTATAATCCTTGGATCACATAGGCTGGTGTGCTTCTTCCATTCGGACTTAGTTGACACTTCACTTAGATGCCTGCTTATTTGAAGACAAGCCTTTAAGATCCCAGATGCTATTCTTTCTGATAGCCAGGCACCATCTGGGTTCTTCCGCAATGTCTGCTATAGCACCTGTGTTTTCAGTGATCATGAGGGTCAGCATCCAGCAGGGCTATCCCATAGGAATGAATTGACCTTAGATTGGGGCTAGAATTAAGTATGAGCACCCAATCCATTCATATATCTGTGGTTTATATATGTCTCTGGTTCACTTTACAGACACCATTATAATTTTTATGATAGTGCATTATAAATCATCCCTGTGAGGCATAAGGTGATTCTTTTGATGCTGTCATTATTTTAGCCAATATTATAGAATTTAAAAGATGGTTGAGAAGAAGAAATTATACAACTATAGTCTGTCTGATTACACATAGAAATATATGAGTTGTTCACTTGTATAGATTAAACTCTTAAATGACCAAACACTGTTTACACAAACAATGGGGGTTAGTGATAGGGCAAAACTTGCAATAATATTCATTCACAATGCCAGAGCCATGCTAACCAGACTCATACCTGGCATCAAGAAGCAAAGAGGGCATTAACATATGGTAGCTTCAGCCCGCCATTCACTGGGCACCCTCAAGGCAAGAGATTCGAGCCAAAGTCCAATGTCCAACATCCACCAGTTCTTTACTCTTGGGCTAGCACTCATATGTTTCTTCTCACACTAGAACATTTCAGCCTTAAGTCCAAGGGCCACAGGTGAGTTTAAGTTAAAGCCCAGTTCATTTAGTGGGGTTTCCACATCAAGTTCTTCTGGTGTTGCCTATGAGGGACATTGTGTGCCTTGAAAGAACATAGTCTAAAGTTCCAGTAGTCCAGTAGGCCTGGGCCACCAAGGGATGGGACAAACTAGGTCAAAAGTGTCCAATTAGGACCATCCCCTACCCAGGCCTATTCTTCCCTTGGGTTCTACATGAGTAGTATTAAGCATTTTTCCCCAATGGAAGGTTGCTTCTCCCCACTTTCCTACCAACAGAAGTGTGATTGCCTTCACTGAGAAATATATGCTCCCCTACTTCCATCCGTCTGGACTTGGATTTCTAGCAAGGTTTGCCTATCACTCTGGTAGGAGTATCTTGATTCAGGGTGACCTAGCACAATTTTGAATGGCAGCAACTGAATGGTCTTCTCCCATTCCCCACATCTTGACAAACTAACCCCAAGCTGAGCCAAGGTCTCCTCTTTCAAAGGATTTTTTAAGATGTTCATGGGTGCTAGGCAGGCTCTCTACCTCGTTGCCTGGGAGATCAGATTAGAAGATTACATGCCCTGGGAGCAGAAGCCTGCCTTCGTCCTGGTGTCAATGTCATCTATTTCTCGACTGCTGTTTCCTTGGGCATTGATTGGATCCCAGCAAGATGAAATCCGTGACAACGTCAATCTATTCTCCATTTACCATGGTCCGGTGGTGAGGGTTTTTGTTTTCTTTACATTGCGTTGTAATCCTTCTGAAGACTGCGGGCCTTGATCTCCATCAGCAAGTAAAAAATATAAAAACGCTCAGTAGATATCAAGCTGAAAGAACTGCGGAAAAAAACTTAATCCGCAAGTTGCAATTGTGAAAGAGTCAATGGACAAAATATCGAGCAATGCAGGAAGCATCAAAAGAATGTGGAAGGAGTATTCAAAGCCACTGTACCAAAGAGAGCGAGTCAACGTTCAGCCGTTCAAGAGGTAGCGTACAATCAAGAACCAATGGTACTGAAGGAAGGAGTCCAAGCTGCACTGAAGGTATCAGCCAAAAACAAGGCTGAGGAATTGACAACCTACCAGTTGAAATGTTTCAATAAACAAATGAAGCACTGGAAGCACCCACCTGCCTGTGCCAAGACATTTGGGAGGCAGCTACCTGGCTAACTGGAAAAGATCCATATTTGTACCATTCCAAAGAAAGGCCACTCAGCAGAATGGGGAAATTATCAAACTGTGTCATTCATATTACAAGTAAATAAAACTCTGCTGAATATCATTCAACAACACTTGCAGCTGCCGATAAGGTAGGAACTGCCAAAATTCAAGCAGTATCCGGAAGAGCAAGTGAAGTCAGATGGATGTTGGCTGAAAGCAGAGAATACCATAAAAATGTTGGGAATTCCTGAAAGCTTAATTGTACGAACACAGAGCCTATACATGGACGAAGAGGGATTGTTTGTACAGAACAAGGGAATTATGCATAGTTAAAATCAGAAAAGGTATGTGGCATGGTTGTATCCATTCACCCTACTTATACAATATATATATGTTGAACAAATAATCCGAGAAGCTGGACTATATGAAAAAGAATGAGGCATCAGGCTTGGAGGAAGGATTATGAACAATTTGCAATATGCAAACGACACAACCTTGCTAAAATACAAAGACATTCGACTGTGTGGATCAAGTACAGATAGAGACGGGCAGAGGGTAAGTAGGTGATTGCTTTGAAGTGGGATAAATGGCAAAAAGGAGTGGCTGCGAGTGCCGGGAGCTGAGGAGGCGTGCTCTGCCGGCGCAGTCAGTGAAGGCTTCATTAGGGGATCTTAGGAAATGAGCAGTTGGCTGTCAGATAAAGAAGAGGCAGGGAGAGCCTTCCATACAGAACCAAAGTCCAAATGAACTCTGACTAGTAGTTCTTGCTGTAACACCAGATCACCTTAGGGACTAAGATGCTCCAAGCCTCAAAGATCGTGAGACTCATCCTTGCACAGTTAGGTCCGAAGAGTCTACAGATGCAAGCCTCATCCCATGGCCTAGCACTATCTTTGTGTTAAGCAGAGAGGAACCATCTCTTGGTTTCTGGACATCATGCTTGGTAAAGTAGAGGGGCAGCCAAAAAGAGGAAGACCCTCGACAAGATGGATTGACAGAAGTGGCTGCAACAATGGACTCAACCATAACAACAGTTGTGCGGATGCCACAGGACAGGATGGTTTTGTTCTGTGAAACACAAGGTTCGCGACGGGTCGGAACCAACTTGATGGCGCATAACAACCTGCAGATACAGCGGTGATGAATAACTTCAAGTACACGAAAAAGATACCGTGTCGTAAGATAATTAGGAAATTATGAGCTTAGAACATGCTACCTTTCGCTTCCTCCCCCCCAACTATCATGATCCCAATTCTACCTTGCAGACCTGGTTAGACCAGAGGATGCACAGCGGTACAGATGGGAACTGGAAACACAGGGAATCCTGGACAGATGAACCCCTCAGGGCCAGCGGTGCCAGTGGCAATACCAGGAGGGAAGGGAGGGTTGAGAGGGGGAATCGATCACAAGGACCTACATATAACCTCCTCTCTGGGGGATGGGCAACAGAAAAGTAGGTGAAGGGAGATGCCGGGAAGTGTAAGATAAGATAAAATAATAATTTATAAATTATTAAGGGTTCATGAGGGAGGGGAGAGCGGGGAGGGAGGGGGAGGAGAAAAAGGAAAATGAGGAGCTGATTCCAGGAACCCAAGCGGAAAGTGAATTTTGAGAATGATGAGGGCAACGAATGTATAAGTGTGTGCTTTACACAATTGATGTATGTATGGATTGTGATAAGTTGTGTGCGCCCCAATGAAATGATTTTTTTTTAAAAAAGAACATGCTACCTTTAAAATATATATTATTTATTTATTTACTTGTAAGTTTATGCAACTTAAATTTGAAAAATGGCTTTGTTTCAGAACGAAGGAGCCTGTCCAGTAAGTGCTGCTGTCTAGTAAGCGTTGGACTATTAACCACGAGGCCCAAGAGTCAAGTCCACCAGTCACTCCCTGGGAGACATAGGAGACGGTCAGCGTCTCAGAAACCCTATACAGCAGCGGTTCTCACCTTGTGGGTCACGACCCCTTTGGGGGTCCAACAACCCTTTCACAGGGGTCGCCCGATTCATAACAGTGGCAAAATGACAGTGATGAAGTAGCAATGAAAATGATTTTATGGTTGGGGGTCACCACAGGATGAGGAACTGCATTAGGAAGGTTGAGAACCACTGCTCTACAGGGTTGTTATGAGTCAGCATCAACTCCATGGCAGTAGGTGAGCGTTTAAGAGCAGGTATGCAAGGTTCTCAAAAATTTAGCAATTTGCTCTTGCAAGCCTGTTCAAGCTTATCCAAACAAGCTCTAACAAACCATGACCGTGGAGCTAATAACCAGCGAATCTTATCTGGTGGCTCGGGGCGCTGTGCCTATTATACCTTGAAAGGATTTGATGTCCAGGAGTGTTCTCTGGTTTGGGACTAGAGTTGGCTATCTGATAACTGGTATTTTTAATTAGTCTTGGGCTGCGTTTATTTTTATAACACATAACTAGATTGACAGTCTGCCTTATCTCAGGATTCTTTTTATGCTTCTAGGTTTTGTCCTAGAGCCAATTGCCCTCCATCCACCAGACTAGTTGGCCAAGCTGGGGCATGAGCTTCTGCAGTAATAGAACCACAGCTGCTTCCCATCATCTCTATAACTTGTCTGGTCCTCTGCCTATCCCAAGACACTAAGAGGGAAAGGTTATGTCACAGCCCAGGAAATATTTGATTTTTTCTAAGGGGGCGTCGGAGTCTGATGACCTCTGTCTTATGATGACCCTGGGATCAGAAACCCAGGTAACCACCATCATCATCATCATAACAACCACCCATTGACCACAGCGATCCCATTAACACTTGATAGCCACCCAGCCATCACATTGCTAGCACCCACTTAACGACCTCACACAACATAGTGACACCATCACATCATCTCTCCTCCCCACACCACAGTCACACCACCAGCAGCACCCACTCACTACCACTCCCCAAGCAATAACCATACCACCACTGCTCAGCTGCCACCCTCCACCCTTGAAAGAAAACAGAATGATGAAGGGGCTACTGCCAGCCCAGTAAGCCCTGTGGACACTGCTGGCTTGGCTCACCCTGTCCCATGGCAACAGGCTGCTCTTAGCACAGGAAATGCCTGCTGTGAATCCTTGCTTCTTGGATCCTCTTTGATGGGGTCTTCGAAGCAGAAGACAGTGGAGGTCCCTTTGTTGGTTTCAGCATCTGAGAAGAGTGGCATTTCCCTCCACTCTCCTTTGAGCTTCTTGACAGGTTTCTTCTCTCCTGCTCCCTCCACACTGTAATCTCTCAGGCCAGTTGCTGGGAGTAACTCATTTTCATCTTATCTCTGGTGCCAGGAGGCCTAGGTAAGGGTAGGACTGGTAAGGCTGGGTGGGGGCTGCATAGCGGGAAGATCTTACAGACGTCCAAGAGAGACCTCCATGTCTGTGTGTCTGTGGCCTCAGGAGACCCTCAGAGATTTATCCGTGTAATACTGGAAGACCCTGGAAGGGATGGCTCCCATAGCCAACTCCAAATCGCAGGCCTCAAGTCTACCATAAGTCACAAGTTGTTAGCTATCCCTGGGCTTTGTAAAGAGAGAACCTGTTGGTCTGAGGATTGGTCTGTGTGAAAGGGATTTGGAGGTGGAATTGGTCGGTGAAAAAGAAAAGCCCTGAAAGCAGAAGTCAGGACCTCAGCTCTTGCCAGCCCACCTGGTCTGAGATATTCTACCAGAGCAGGTTTGTGACTGTCTAGAAACCCAGGGCCTATGCCTGGTACATTTCTCCTTACTGAGTCACATAGCAGCCACAAGAAAGACTTTCTTATTTTGCCCTGTTTGGTTTTCGAAGTCCCAGCTTTTGCTTGAGCCTCTGAGGCTGTGTCAACAGAAGCACTCTGGCGCCGAACTACAGCTCGGCTGTAGTCTGGGTGTGGAATGTCTGTGTGGACTGTCTCTATTCATTGGTATCCAATGGACTCGGACTCAGAGTGACCTGCAGAACAGAGTTAATTGACTTGCTCCATACGTTCCTAGAGCTGTCAGTGTTTATGGAACGACATTGCCACTGTGGCTGGTGGGTTTGAACTGGGACCTTGGGCTTCGATGCTGAGCTCTTAACCACTACACTACAAGAACGCCTCTGGATTACCTACAGGAGGCTATAAAAGAAACTATTGTGGGGCCAACAGGTGATTTTGATATGCGTTGAGCTGCTCACTGCAAGGACAGCAGTTTGAAAACATCACCCGCTCCGAGGGAGAGAGACCCAGCCATATTCTCCCATAAAGTGACCATCTCGGGAACTCACAGGAGCCGTTCTACCCTGTCCTGCAGGATTGCTGTGAGCTGACGCTGGCTCGATGGCAGTGAGTTGATCCTTTCATACTGTAAAAATATTGACCCATCACATTAATTTCAAAACTCGCATTATGTAAAAGAAGAAGGCAAACAGCTGCCCTCCAAGCCCTCCAAGTTATTGTTGGTATTGTGACCTGCCCTCCAGCTGGCCCCAACCCACAGTGGCTCTGTGTACAACAGAACAAAGCCCTGCCTAGTCCAGGGCCAACCTCAGAACTGTCGCTGTCTCTGAGCCACTGGGTCACCTCATCTTGCTCAGGGTCTTCCTCTTCTTCTCGGACCTCCTACTTCGCCAACCTAACGGTTTTTCTTTTTCAATGTCACCTTTTATTTATAAAAGCTTAACTGCCTCCTATCTTTTTGTAATTTGCGCAGTTATTTTTTAATATACATAACAAAAACATTCTACGGTTCAGCAACTTCTACACGTATACCTCAGTGCCATGGATCATACTCTTGGACAACCAAATCTTTTCCCAAATTATTCCACCACCATTCACATAAACTCAATGCCCCTAAGCCAAAACTCTTCCTCCTTCACCCATGGTAACCACCGGCCAAATGTGGTTTCCTTCTCTCTTTTTTCAGTAGTCTTCTTGATATAATATTCACCTATCATACACTTCCATAGTTGCTTTTAAAAATAACTGTATATACATCATCACAATTGATCACTAATGCTCCTTCTCCCCCTCCCACATTCATTGTTTGCTCCCCAATTACCCGCCACCCCCCTGAAATGCCCTTCTCCAGGGCATGCTCCCTCCTGACAACATGCCCAAAGTACATGAGTCTTGCCATCCTCACTTTTTAGGAAATTTCTGATTGTACTTCTTCCAACATAGATTCCTTTATTCTTCTTGTAGTCCATGGTATAGTCAATATTCCTTGCCAATGTCATAGTTCATAGGCGTCTTTTCCCATCTTCCTTATATACTGTCCAGCTTTTACATGAATATGATGCAATTGAAAATATCATGACTAGGGTCAGATAAACCTTAGATCTCAAAGTAACATTTCTTTAACACCATAAAGAG